GGGGGGGTGGGGGGAAGCAATTTAGCAAAAGTACAATGTAATCTTCAGTATTGTAAGAATTAACAGAAGACTAATATTAATGGCAGATTGTGTCTCACCGGCGTGAGAACTTTTTTTTTTTTGGTTGTTTTAATGTGAAATACAAATCCAAGGCAGCCTTCACAGGTTTGGCTGCAGGTAACTGTTTAATGCAATTATCTCCATTATTCTTGTCTCTGTTTCTAACAGCTGTTTTTAAATGCTAACAATAAAGTGGCAGACAAGAGTGAGAAAAACCTTGCCAACAAATTACTGACAGAAATGAATGAGGACCAGGTACCTACCTAAGCTGTATTTTGCTTCAGTTGAAGTCAAGACACAATCACAGGAAAATAGATTCTTGTGCTTCACCTTAACCATCTTCTTTAAGCTTTCTGCAGCAAGATGAACTTGTGTTGCTGCATGTATCAGTACTTCCTGTTTTTGGAAAATAATTAATGAATAACAGATTTAATTCAACCTCAGTGTTACTAATCTGCTTCAGATTGCAGATATTTGCAATAGATTGAGCCTCAGTTATGCTTCTTTTAAGGAAAAGGTGAAGTACATTAATGGAATCCAAATAAATTCTATCAACCTGGTGGTGATTTTTTCCCCCTCCCTTTCCTCTTTTTAGCTTCTTTGTCTCAGCACTGTGGTGTTTTGGATTCTGGGGTCTTGTTTGTGAATCTCAGTGGTTTTATTTGATGTTCTGATTCTTTGCTTGTCATCAAGAACAGATATTCACATAACAATGGACAGGCTGAATCAGGGAGGTAGGAATAGCCTGTTGCTTTGTTTTTCCCAAAATATTGTGAAAAGTTTCAAATTGAAATTGTTGTTGTATTAATTTTATAGTAGAATGATTTGTTCTGATTAAAAATGTAAAGAAAGGCTAAATACAAAGTATGGTAATCTACAAATTGTGATTCTAACTAATAGCTTTGGCTTTTTTAGAAACTCAGTGCAACACTCTAACCGCATGTAAATGCTTCTTCACATCTAACATTGTCTTCTGATTCTTGACATTTCATTTCCAAAATATGTCGGATATGCATATAATATTTCAGAAATGACGAAACAGTATGTTTGTTTGAAGTTTTGCTAATGAGGTTTACAGATGGATGTGAGATAGTGCTCCAATGTTTTTGTTCTTAAAGCCACTAAAGAAATATAAACAATTATAGGAAAAAAGCCCTCAAAAGATGACTTAAATTGGAAAAAAGATGGTGATCAATGCGATGAGGCTATGGGTGAGGCAGCCATGTTACTGTGCTGGTGTGACTTTTCTCTTATAATTTGTGTGTGTGTGTGTCTTGCACTGGCGTGTAGGGG